TCATTGAAGTTTTGTGTGGCTCAGGCAGAATTTTATTGCTCTAGCTTTCTTTTAACTGGATCACTACAACTGAATTAACCATCATTTATGATTGACATAACATAACTTTAAACACTAAATTGTAAAGATTCTGTTCTTATTTAAAGTACAAGGGCACAAAAGTATGTAGTATTTTTAATGAGACTGCTTTCCATTATATGGAATAAAATTACAGTTGTGAGGTTGCTGAAGATATACTTGATTTAGAGAGGTTTAAAAGTGACATGGAACTAAAATTCTAAACATTAGTTTATTAGCTATATGTAAAAAGTTTAAGGAAGACTTACAAACAACTAGTAATAAAACATATAACTACCAAATTAGTCTACATGGCATTTATCACCTTCTAATATACTCCATAATTCCATGTTTATATGTTTGTTATCCCGCTAGAATGTAACATTTTTTTCCCCAATTTGTTCACTGATTTGTCTTCAACACCTAGAAAAATGTCTTGTACATAAGAACTACTTAGCAAATATTTATTGAATGAACAAATGAAAGAATAGCAGTTGGTAAGGATGTGGAAAAATAGGAACTCTCATACACTGCTGCTGTGTAAGAGTGTAAACTGGTAAAACTTGCTTTAGAGAACAATTTGATAACATCCAACAAAGTTGAATATGTGCATATCCTACCACTCAACAATGTTACTTCTAGTTGTATACCCTGGAAAACACATGTATAAGGCCATAAATAAATGTGTTCAAGAACGTTTGCTAAAATGTAATAGGAAAAAAATTGGAAACAATCTAAATGTTTATTGGTAGGAAAACAGATCAATTAATTATGGTATATTCCTCAGCTGGAATACTGTATCATAGTTAAAAATGAATGAAGTACCTTTACGTATGTCAACAGGCATTAATTAAAAAAATAATATTGAGTGAAAAAAATAGCTGCAAAAGGATAATATGTAGTTGGGCAGCATTTATATAAATTTTGACAACTCAATAATATAGTTTGTTGCATTAGTTTTTTGTCAGTAAGGATTCATTTAGTTGTCTAAGCTTCTGCTGTTTAATACTGAAAGGAAATCCACAAAAGCACAGGCCTTTCATCTCTGACATCATGTGGTAGAGTAACTAAGGATATGTGTAAAAAGGCTGTTTATTAAATACTTGTTAACATGATTAGTGTGAACCACAATGAACTTCTTTGCATCTACGTCCATTTTACTAATTCTAACTCATCATTTATAACAACTTTTTAAATATTTAGCCAATGAAGAATCTTAAAGCCAAGGATATTAATATTCACAATGATAGATTGTGTGTACTTACAGTTAAAGAACTAGACTAGAAATTTCATAAAAATCACACTAAAGTCATTATGACATTCAGTTATGTCTACTGGTATTTTCTACTTAAACATTTCACTATGCTCTGTCAAAACAAACTCTGATTAAGATTAAAATAAGTGAAGAAATTAAAATTGATGTTCATCTTTTTTTCTGTTAACATTATTTTCAGAGCATACGTTTGGTATAAAGATAATGTATTTGAGGTCAACCTTTATTTTTCACTTAGTATTAAACAGTGCTGTCACAAAGAATAAGTTCTAATCTGCCCTCTGCCCTGTTCTTGTTTTCTCCATAGTTATCTGATGATGGTCGCTATGTCTTGTTATCAATCAGGGAGGGCTGCGATCCAGTAAACCGGCTCTGGTACTGTGACCTACAGCAGGAATCAAATGGCATCACTGGTAAGTTCTCTTTTAAACACAGATAATTATTCCAGAAACTCCGTTCACAGCAATGATTTTGATCTTCTAATTGATTTCCCAAGAAGCCTTCTTCCATTCTACTGCATTATCTCATTTTTTGATTTTTTTCAGCACTATTCCATAAAGTGAAGGAAAGTTGAATGAAGCTAACTCTTCACTTTAGCATTTTCTCTGTAGATTGAGGTTAACCTATTTTTTTGCACATGGAGTGTGAAAATATCCTGAGTATTGCAGTGAAGCTGGCCTTTTGGTCTGTAAACCATTGTCACTATCTCGATGAAATGATGCAGATTGCCATAGGAAAGGGATATATTAGGCCAGTGGGAATTCACCAGATTAAATAGGTATATGCATAACAGCTCTCCAGTACTGAGCACAGTCACAGCCAGTCTGGCTTCCTGAAGCTCTGAATGTCATGATGGTGAGCCTAGAACCAGCCAGTTATGAATTCTGGAGATGGTTCATTTTAAATGTTGTTCTCTTCCAACAGCTTTATCATACCAGATCAAAAGTAGTTCTTAGTAAAAAAAAAAAAAAAAATTATCTCATCACCCTTCTCAAGCATTAAAGCAATTCAACTGCCACAGTTCACTATTAAAAATTCCCACACCCAAAAACCTGCGGGCACCCAGATAAGTACAGTAATTACACCATATCTAGCTAAGGCAACATAAACATATTTTGAGATTGTTGACACTGATTTTCAAAATATGCAACATTCAGTACTTTAATAATTAATCTCATTATTGGTGTCTAATCTATATTACAGTGTAAATATGGAAATATTTATGTCTGATTTGGAGTTGCATTACTTTTTCAACTTCTCTGAGCAAGGGTCATACCCTAACATTCTTAGATACTGCAGAGTATCATGTACACACATAGCAAGCTGAAGCCAGCAACTTTTTATTGTAGTGTTAAATGTATACCCACTTAATAAAGTTACGTTTGGTTTGGTTTGGTTTTCTGTTAAGAAAAAAAAAAAAAGAATATACTCATTTTGGCCCCAGGAAAATGGCATCAGCTATGTCAGCGTTCACATTTTCTGATAGGAGCAAACCAGCCCACAAGAGTTAGTCACTCGAGTTGTAAGTCAAAATCAGTGTAGAACTGAAGCAGCCTCTTACAACTGAATCTAAAACAGTGACAGCAGATATCACAGTGCTCTTGTCATGCACACTTTCCCCTGTGTTTCTAAGATGGTGGAAAGGACTTTGCCTTTCTCCTGTTTATTGAAAATTCCAGTTACAGTGTCCTTCCTGAAGAGAGTGCTGTTTTCATTTCCTATTTGTTACTTCACTGTGTATTTTACTATTAAGTGGGCCTGTGTTATTAAAATATACAGATTAACTCTGATTTTGTTTTGCTTAATTTACTCCAAATCCAGAGAAGAAAAAAAATTCATCCACATATTCATATACTGAACTGCTATTGCTATGTCCACTTTAATAATAGATACTAGTGCTTTGAATGAGATGTGCAAATCCCAGCAGAACTCGAGGAAACTTTCTGTATTTACTGAGATTACCTCCCAGCATCTTTTCCTTGCTATTTCCTTATCCTCTCCCCCATTTTTGCTATCCTTTTTAAACTAAGGGGAAGAACATTTAATATTTAACTTAAATCTTAAGTGAGCTGGTTAACTTATGTGTTAGATGAGCTAGACCTGAATAGCTAGTGACGAGAAAACTAAATGCCATGTTTTTGAAACCTTCGATTTTATATTACTGAAATTTATACTCCTTTTGATGACCTGAAGCCTTTCTGCTATGATTTTAATCTTTTTTTCTCTTGAAGGCAGGGTGAATTATTAGCATTTTTCATATAAATCACTTCTTTATTTAGTAGGGCACCACTAAATAGCTTTCTTGAGAACTAAGTAATTCATTCAGGTGGTCCCTTTTCTAACATTTCTGTAATCTTTGTCTCAAGCAAACCTACCCATGCGCAGTTTAAAATGAGAAGCACAAAAAAGTGGCCAATGGTAATTTAATATAGTAGATGTACTTCAGCACATAGGGAAAACAAAACGGTATAAATAAGGGATGGGAAAAAAATCTTAGAATCTTGAGTTTTGAAAGAGATCTCTGTGAAGCTGGCTTCTCTTGTCATTGAAGTTTGAATTTGTATTCTCTGACTTGCCAACCATCTTCGTACTTGCTGCTTCGTGAGCATGATTTCTCCCCTGTTCTCCTTTACCTCTCTGTGGAGAGCCTCATTCTACCATTTCCATTTGCAGTGTTTTTACAGATTATGGACCTTATCCTCCTTTCTACAGTAACTACGATTGAGGCTGGTAGTTGCTCCTGTCTGAACAGGCAATTCCCATGGCTCACCTCACTCACCATCGTGTAGAAGTGGCATTAGGTACATCTGTGCCTTCACAGTTTGTACAGTTTTTCAACTGTTCAAAGTAGCTAAGCAGGCCTTCTGCAAAGAATATTGTAATCCCTTGCTCCACTGGTTACCAGAGAAATGTGTTGAGTCACTGTCTTCTTGCCTCAGGAAGAAAGATTTCTGCTCCATAGTTTACCACACTTGGTCAGGCTTTTGGCCGACATCTTTCTTTGTATAGGTCCCTGCGTGTCACAAATGGTTTGCACTCTGCTACTAAGCAAAAGTTTGGTTGTTTGAATCCACCCAGCAGTGCTACAGAAAAAGGCATGGTGATCTGCTTCTATAAGATTACAACCAAGAAGACCCTGTGCAACGCGGTTCTGCTCTGAAGCACATGGGGTCACCATGAGTCAGAATCAACTCAACGGCAACAAGTTTGGGCTTTTGATTTTTCTCTCTACAGTTCTTCCTTCTGC